TCTCTTGCTCTTCTTCCTCCAATCATTATTTACCTGTTCTGAGAAATCTCCCCGCTCACATTTACTTATCTCCCGCTCACATTCTGAGTTGTAATTTTACTGCATAATAAGCAGATTGAAGCATCTCTGCAGCATCTGGGTTTGCTGATGTTTTCGTACAGTGCAATGGTAGCTTTTAGTAATTTAATATCACCAAAGATGGCGCCACGTGCCAGTCGGTGCGCTGGTCTGTGTGGTTTGAAAAACCTCAGCTGCTGTTTGGTCGTACTGTATACGTGCTACTTACTAGACACTTGCCGGCGTTATGGTTGACCTTTCTATTCCCAAATCATGACAAATTTGCCCGGCATTTCCCAATTTCCAGATATTTAAGATATCCCATTGCTGCATCCTAATAATAGCCATTTCCCCACTCTATTAAGTAGCGCTGCGATCTAAATTTGTTACTAAAATATATATACATATATAAATATATGAACTAATAAATATATTAATAGTATACATAATAAATATAATACATATATTACTCATATCACTCGAGTGATCTTTGTTCGTCTGCACGGCGAACGTTCCATTGTTTACGTTTTCCATGTTCTCTTGTTTGTAGGCGGCCATCGACAGGAGCATCCTCGCCTCGTTCTTGCAACTTCGCGCGGATTACAAGACGGCAAAGATCGCGAATCAGTTCAAGTGATCCGGCAACTCTCACTGTTACGTGGTTACATTACAACTCTCACTGTTACATGATAACATGATAATCATCGCTGTTACATGATAACATTACATCCCTCCCCTGCAGTGTTCCGCATGATAAGCATTACATCGCTCAGTGTTATCATGATAAGATTACATTCGCCTCGTGTTACATGAAGAACATACGCACTCTCACTGTTAAGCATGATAACATTTATAAGCATCAGCTTTACATAGATAACATTACATCCCTCAGTGTTCATGATACATTACATCTCATGTGTTACATGAAACCATTACGTCCGCTTCAGTGTTACATGATAAGCAATTCAGGCGGTTCTTGTTAATTTGACAAGCAGGTTATATTTGACAATGAAATAGCAGGTGCACTGTTGTTTTTCCCGGCAGCAGACGGTAGGGCGAGCGACGAAGGCGCGATAGCCCTGCTAGGGGGTCCAGGGGCATCGCACGCGCCTGGAAAAAAAATTCTGATTGTGACCGACAAAATAGGCCATTTTGATGGGTATGGGTTCTAGAATTTGGTAGTGTTAGAATAGGAAAATATATGCTATTAAGTATCTATTATAAAAAGAAAAACCCGCCCTGCCACAGAGTTAGTCTCTTGGGTTGGAAGTATTAAAATAAAACTTCGTCTTTTTTCAAATATGCCGATTAAATATATTTACCGCGCTTTAGTGCAAGTTTTCTCTCAAATGATACGCCCGGTAACAAATTGCGTGCATAGCGGTAAAATAACCGCGTTACGGCCTATTACAATGAACCGCATGTAAAAGATTACATCCCTCAGTGCTTACATGATAACATTACATCCTCGGTGTACATGGATAAGCCTTACGATCCCTGGCCTGTTACATGCAATAACATTACATCCGCTTGGTTGTTACATAACATCAGTCTAATATAACATCCCTGCAAGTGTTACATGATAACATTACATCCCTGCCATGTGTTACATGATAACATTACATCCCTCAGTGTGACATTGATAACATTAAATACTCCTCGGTGTTCATTGAAACATTACATCCTCGGCTGTTACATCGATAACATTTCACTCTTGTTATACCATCATCGGCTGTACATGAATACATTAATCCCTTGGTGTTCTACGATGATATACATTACATCCCTCAGTGTACAGATGACTAACAGTTAATCCTTTCAGTGTTACATGAATGCAATTCGCAGAGGATATGTTGGCCCGATAGAGTGCAGCAGCAATTCTGCAGCCTGACATCGATGAAGAGAAGCGGAGAACAGGGGGAGAGAGGGAGAAAGCGAGAGAGGGTGAGAAAGAGACAGACAGCAGGTTTTTAGAGATGAGGAGAGAGAAAGAGACAGACAGACAGGGAGAGAGAGAGAAGAGACAGACATACAGGGAGAGAGAGAGAGAGAGAGAGAAGAGACAGACAGACAGAACAGCACTGACAGACAGACAGACAGACAGGGAGATAGAGAGAGAGAGAGAGAGAGCAGAGAGGCTGGGGAGAGTGAGAGAAGAAGAGAGAGAGATTAGAGAGAGGTTGGGGAGACTGAGAGAGACAGACAGACAGACAGGGAGAGAGAGAGAGAGGGGTGGGGAGAGTGAGAGAGAGAGAGAGATAGACGGACAGACAGGGAGAGAGAGAGAGAGAAGAGAAGAGAGAGAGAGAGAGAGAGAGAGAGATGGAGCGAGAGACAGAGAGGGAGAGAGAAGGAGAGAGGGAGAAAAAGGGAAGAGGAGAGAGAGACAGAGAGAGAGAGAGAGATGAAGAGAAATGGAGATGGGTAGTGTTTTTCACGCAGAAGTAGCTGCACGTTCGAAAAACAGTACGTTTTTTAGCCGCTTATACAAGAGGAAAGGGGCAGCAATTTTAATCCTAGTCCAACCTGATCCGTCAGAGATGTCGGATATTTTTCCTGGCAGACCCCCCCACCCCTCACCCTCTCCCAACCTTCTCCCAAATGATTCAGAAACCAATAATCTTTTCGGTGAGCAATGCATCGGGTTTACTGATCGCGAAAATTCCTGTATGTTTTGTTGACTGATGGATGCTATCCGTAGTACTGGTTTTGTGGTTTGTCACTCGACCGTTGAACGGTGTTGTTGTTGTTGTTGTTGTTAATTGTCGTTCTACTCATCATATAAACAGGAGTGTTGACAGTTTTAACATGGCAGTGACCGAATTGAAATATGTTGCAGTATGGACCACGAATTTATGAGAGATCATGAGTAGTCAGCTCGTTGGATTGACATGTAATTTTATCCCTAATAATTATCTGTAATTTAATCCTTATGTTTCTATTGGTTTGTAAAACATTATCGTGAATGCGTAACTAGCTTTTTAATGTGAGCCGTACGCGTGTGTCGTGTGCTTGTATATATAATCCTATGTATAGGTGGTATTTTTTGCAACGATTTCTTGCTTTTTTGGCCGCGGGGAAATAAAGACAGGGGAAACCCACCGCCCGTGTGTTCTCTCGTCTCCCAATTATCCAGAACTTCTTAACGAGTCATCGCTCTTGCTACCCGTGTTTTTTTATTCTCTCTCTCTCTCTCTCTCTCTCTCT